CTATAATAACAAATTCAACATGCTGGCATTGTTTAAGTATATAGCCTATACATTCTTAAGTCGGTGAAAAATGGAACTCGTATCGATTTAACATTGTTTATACTAAAACAATGACGCGTACTATGGAAAAGAAATTTAGGTGCATAGCCGGTACGCGAGTCAGCGTTGCGTGGGCGCTTGCACTCTCCGGGCACACGCGTGCGAGTACGCGCCAGGTGTAAACAAAACCGCGTATAACCCTCGGTTAGCGAAGCGCGGCCGAGCGGAACCGTTTCTTTCGTCCCATTGTCAGCTGGTCGTCTCTTTCCTCTCCGTCTTTCATGCAAGCCACAGCCGTACGCCGCTCGACTTTCTCGATCCTATTGCCCATTACCATAAGAATCCTTTCTCGTCAACGAACGAGGAAAACTCTCGCGACTCGTTATCCACAATCCTCGGGAACACCTTTCTCGCGAGAATGCGTGTACGCATAACTGATCGACGCGACTATTTAAACAGGAATCCATTCGACGCGACTCGTTCCTGTGAATCGACTCCCAAGGAGATCTACTGAGAATTTTCTTTTTATAATAGGCTGGTGAATACGAAAGGTCGGACACGACTGTTTGACTCTGCATTTCTTAACAAGTAGAAATTGAAAAACTCTTTAATTTACCTGATTGATGTCCAAGTTACAACAATTATAATTCAAATCTCGTTATTATACTAAATCAGTCGATATTGAAAAATAATAATGTTACAGAATCTAACGAATTTGCAATGCATTCGAATCTCATTGATACAGCACGTTATTTGGTCTTCAATCTGATCGAAAGTACGATGAGAAATTCGAGCTAAGACGATTCCCGGTCTAATATTAATGCATATTTTAGAGGATCCCGCGTTACCTTGCCAAAACTGTAACGAAATCGATTCGACATATTCGCGTGGCCTTACGGCCTTTTTGACCCGACACGGGAGAACTTTCAATTTCCACACGGCTGTCGTACGAGCAGTTAAAACAGACCAAGTATAAATATAGGCGGCCGGGGCAGATCCGGGAAAATTTGGTGGCAGTCGAGTTCAACCCCAGGACTCTGAACGAAATACAAAACGGTTTTTAATCGAAACACGTAATAGTTTTAGAAAATTACGCATTATTGTGAAAAAACACGAATCCACCTTTGAATAATAGATTCCACCAATCGTAGTCATCGTATCTATAAGCTTCAATCACGTTTCGCATCGACTTTCCAACATTATTCTTAATGATAGGGATAGAACGCTGAAAGTTTCCTGAGAGAAAGAATTTTTTACGAGATGCCTATCGATCAGCGCATAGAACGAAGCTTGATACGATTCAGCTTTATTCGGAGACCACTTCCGATAAAAATTCTTCGAATGATCGCGACGACCACGTACTTGTAAACAGTTGATCCAAGCTCGCTCGTGTGAACGTTCAAACAGGGATTAACGAAGAATGTTAACGAGGCGTTCAGAGCTTAGTCGAGAGCGCACTTGGTGCACTCGAGCGTACATCGGCGCCGTTCCCAACAATGAACGAACTTCTTTGTTGGCGGAGACGACCGCGGACGAGGAACGTCCACGCGATCACCGTCGGCCGCGATCTCTATGACAAAAGCTAACTGTATAATATGCTATCGTACCGCGACGATCGGCTCGATCGGCTGCATCCCGGACGGCTTTGTGCAAAGTGAAGCGTGACGCATGGTTCGCGCTTAGAATCTTTTTTCCTCATTTACGATCGTCGAGCAGGGAACAAGATCGAGGGGGTCCGATACCTGCGTGTCACCGTTCCACATCACGGAACGCTTCCCCGTTCGATTCCCGTAAAATATAAATTCTAGAAAAAAGAAGTATAATAGAAACTTGGCTCGTAATTGATACTTAGTTGATAATTGATTTTGCGTTCATCGAATGAAGTAAGAACTGCTGGTAACTTTGTGTATGAATGTGCATGCAATATGCATGGCCCGTGCCAGTTTGCCAACAGTTCTGTGCACGGTTGATGTGTATAATACATAATCGTCCGTAATAGAGCATCGTATAAACACAAGCTTTTTTATGATTCGGTTATAGTAAGAAATTCCCTTATACCGATATCAGAGAGGCGGAACCAAGGAACTTAATTGTGCCGGGAAATCAAAATATCAGCTCAACAATCGAATTAGTATTTTACACACACGACATTGATTTTTTTAAAGACCTATCAATCTAAATAATCCCGGTGGCCTAAAAGTTGAACTCGACCCGAACAACTCTTCTCTGTTAAACTACACTTTCCGGTACCAGGAACTCTGTACTTATATACCCGTTTCCCGGAAACGCGACGAGATTAATATTCCGAGCAAAACACGAATTGTCAATGCACTCAGTCCGACGAGTGAACAAATTAATGAATGGATGAATGAATGTATGAATGAATAGAACGGGACAAGGTATGCGAATATGATCGTGCGAGAATGACTTTGGTACCATGCCGTACACGTGACATAAAATTTTCGGAGAACGACATCCTGGCTTCGTATAGATAACGCTTTGAAACCATTAAACAGATTTTATATTGCCCATATGCTCTCTCCGGTGATAATGATCAAATATTTGCTATATGCTAATGACCTGAAATATTAATAAAGAAGTGAAGATTTCCTTTGAGATTTTTTCCTATCATTTTTACTTTGGCAATTATCCACGAACGACGTATCAATAAACTAATAAAGGAAAGATGTGTCGCATGCAAAAATAAAAGACTCACGTTTGTTTCTCTACGGCTGCCTCATGTTCTCCGGAAGTGACCTCCGTAGAAAATAGAGCTGCTGGTCAGTTTTACGGGTGGACCATCGTAAACCGCGTCGTTTCACGTCCATCGAGAGTTGTCACATGTCACCAGATCCGAGCGCGTCCCGTTGATAACGCGTACTTATTGTATTCGCCGCGCACTTTTCACGCACAGACAATCGCAAGCCCGTACGCCGCGCCGCGCGCACTGTGAATGACGCACGACCGCGACGCGCCGCGCCGGTACGCCGGGGCGCTTATGGTTGTTGTTAAGTATGCGGCCCGTGGCAACCAATAGCAAATTACCCGCGCGCTCGACGAGCCAATCGCGAAGACGCGATCTTCTACACGTGACAGCGCTGATTTTAACTCCTGACCGAATGCGTATCCGCATTTTTGAAAATCCATCGCCACTTATCGAAGGAACGTGGAACATTATTTTAATTCTGTCCCCGACATGTAAATAATCTTTGATAGCAGCAGAATATGTCTAATTAAACTTTCCAAGTATAAATATTCAAATAGTTCTTGAATATTATTATTTGAATTTGAAATTTCTTATCGTCGGAACTTTTATCCATTGACGGTACTCGGTTTATTTTCTTTGTTTTTATAGTTAGCAACTTTTGATTTCGAATAGTTGAGCGATATTTTTCGCTTACGGTTTGACGTCTTGTCATCGAAGTTAAATTACCGTCGATGAAAATATCGATGCCTCTGCGGCTATCCGAATTAAAGTCGTAAATAATGTTGGACAGGTTCCAATAGAAAGTGAAACTTAGCGAGACCCGCGATCCGCAAGGCGCAGGGCATGAGAATTCAAATTGGAGCAGAAAGGAAGGAAGGAAGAGAAGTCGTTCCGCTGCCATTGGTAGATATGCGATAACGGAGATCGAACCGCATAAGGTGGCGCGGTGGCGATACATATTTCGTCGAAATATAGTTATCATTAGAAATTATGGTGCGACCCGTGAACCGCGCGTCCGTGATGATCGCACTCTTGACTCTGTTCGTCAACCAAGTAAGAACGATGACGAGGAACTGTTCTAACGATGCAGCCCTCTCATAACAGCTGCAGCATGCTATAGCCCCGTAGAACGTTAGCGCATATCTCGTGTACCAGTGGCTCCTTGTTCTATTCCGCTCGGCTCCGTGCTCGATCAATACGTCGGTTTTACGCGCGGCTCGTCCGCGTCTAGGCAATGAACCCTCGTTCGTTGTATTTCTCGTTCATGAGTAAGTCTTTTCCATCCATTTGATCTTTTCTCGTTTTCTTTTGCGGCAGAAGTTACGCGGTTTCGTCGTGCCGATCGACAGTGTACGATTAGATCACCGCTGCATCGTGTGTGCGTGTTTCTCGCGATGAAGGAGACTGTCGTTCGCAGTCGAACGATTCCTGATGGGCGGAAGATTCTCGTGCAGCTGAGAGTATCGTTTATCATTCTCCTTTAACGATACCGAATTTTCCATAAATATTGATTTTCATTCATCTCGACGTCTCGTGCGGTGAACGTTACGCCAAGTATCTAAGAACATTCGCATGCGATACTGTTCAGACGTGAAAGAAATGTAACTTAAGTTGAATCGCATTTACGAGCTTCCCATTTAATGACGATCGTTTCCTTTTGTTTGCTGGCCGATTTTTAGGTGTCTTCTAGGCTGTGCAATGGGGGGCATGTGTAAGTTCTCTCGCGTTCCTCCTCTGTTCTCTCGCTTGCCAATTTTGCGTGGTCATCAAAAAAGAATTAAACGACCGGTCCGTTTCTTTTAGCTGCTCTCCTCCAAAATACTGCTGTTCCTTTGGCTGTTGTTACGGAGCATTCCAACTGCACACTGTATCAGACATGTTTAATTTCTTGATTTGGACTTATTGGTACTTATGGTCAGTCTCTCTCTCATTCCCCGCTTTTACGGATCCACTGATAGAAATTAAGATCGATTCTAATTGAATGCGTTCCGTCGTACAGGACAGCGGTGCTTATCGGGATAGCCCTAGCGGCTGCATGCGGTTGCTGGCTATGGAAGCGTCATCATTCTTTCCGTCACTCGTGGTCACCGGGAATGGTGGATTTCCTTTCTTCCCACAGAGGTTCTTCGGTGTCCTGGTATTCGCCGCCTCATTACAGCCGATCCAGTTCCTTCGTTCAGGCATTACCACCTCCTTACAATGAGGTACGCAAACCTTCGCCAAATCGTCGCGAGTTTCACTGATCCTCCGCATTCTGCTTCCTTCAGGTAACGGCGAAACCGAACTTGTATCCGCTGGTCATCGGATACGACGAGGAATCTGGTAAAGGGACCTCGGGATTCGTGATGCGTTACTTCAGATCGCTGTCGCACGCGAGCACACTGGATTCGTTGGGATCGAGTTTTATGTGCAACATGGTGAATGAGGCGAATACCATAATACCGCCGCCGTATTCGTGTAACGACAGCGTCGACGAGCTGTCCGGCGTCGAGTGTGCCAGGATGGAGAACACAGACGTTGGATCGGTCGTCTCGCTTGCCAATCATAGGACTACCTCTGACATATCGAGTTTAGCTGCTCAATCTCCATGCTCGCCACCGCGGGCTACCAGTCCGACGATAGAGGTATCTAGATTCAACATGTCAATAATTACATGCTCATCTCAACTGCGTATCTTGCTGATCTAATTACTAACGCGTGATCTTACATTACAGTTACGCGAGCTGCTAGATAAAATTCAACAATTGCCTCAACTACCCGGCGGTCACAGTACCGTATTGTCTTGCTATCAGAACCGGCCTCAAGTCTTGTGCACGACGAACGCGACGAGCGTCTCCGGCCAACGTCCTCTGAGCCCGGGAGACGTCGGCTCTTATAGGACTAGAAGGGCGCGAGGGAAAATGTACATGCCGTTGGGTCTGCCGAATTCGAAGAGCAAAGTGAAGCGATGGCTGTCGCGATCGGCGCCGACGACCCCGTCGGGCACGGTGCCGATGTCCTTCCTGCCCGGGCAGAGCAGGCGGCCCTCGGACACGGACAGCAACGGCCGACAGGTGGTCCCGTTGCTCTCGGAACAGGACGAGACCGAGAGCAACAACGTGGACCAGTCCAATCGCATCCCGTTGTTGCCCGAACACGAGGACGAACGGCAAGAGACATGACGAATCGTCTGACAGGCGTCTAACGTAATTACGAGATCTATCTCACATAACCATACCCCAAGTAATTTACCATATATTTTTTAAACATGGCTGGTAAACTCCTTATTGCAAACTTAACGCCGAAAAGTGGATACGCGTGTTGCGTGAAAAGGCTTGGGCAATTGATTTCGTCCAGATATCGCCTACGCTGTTAGAAAATAACAAAACCGTTCAGAAGCTGTGACCTAATTTTTCCGTTCCACAGACAGCCGACGCGATGTAACAGCGCCGACTTTTCGTTATTTCTATAGTATTTCGAGCCGGACCGACGCGCGATAGAACGGTAACCGACATCGTTACGTACTCTTCTAAGCTCGGTGAATTAGCGTACAATTACAACTAGGCAAAACACGAAACACGAAGAACACATACATATAATATATAGGTACACGAGACGTTACGGTAAAATAGGTTTTACATAGACTCGTATTTAAATATTGCTTGTCGAAACCTCGGTCAGACCGTGTATTTTATACATCGAATTTTATTTGTTGCCTAAACGTTGACGTACAACTGGCCGAGTGCGAGCCGTACGAGACGAGGTGATCAACTTACAATTAGCTGTCTCTCATCGCGATAAATTTTAATCGTAACGCCAGTAAATACAGTGTCCATCCAGAAACAGCCAGCCAGAAACGATGAAGTTAAGGACAATATATAATACGAGTTAATTAAACGTAGTTCGAGCGTGAACGAATAGTCGAAGGGCAGAGGCTCATCGGGTAGGGCAACTTGACGGACGAAGCACAACGATCGCGAAGTCATTTTGATCGATGCGAGATCGATATTATATTTCATGTACTTACACGTAACGAGTCGACGAGGGCGAGATCCATATAAGCGCCGAACAGTTCTAGGATGGAACAATGAATCCGCCGTGCCACCCGCGGGAGATCGGCCCGTTCATAATCATAAAGTTCGAACGAATATTTGTTACGGTCACAGAAGTTATGCGTACTTACATTGGACGAGAAACACGGCGACTTTGACAACTGTACCGCTCGTTTTCTCACGACATGCAGATACACACACGTACACACACGCCCCATGTATTAACATGTATTTTTTTATAAATCGGATACGAAATAAATCCAAGCTTTTACGAAATTGTTGCAACCGTTACCGTGACCCCATTGTTACCGTTCGAATAAAGATATTTCAAGTACACTTCGAACGTAATTTCTCCTAACGAAGAACTCGCGGATCACGATTTCGCGGCAAACACTGCTTCTCATCGAATGAACTGAAGTTTGAAGCGACTGCGAAGCGCCACGAGTATCGACTTTCTGGTATATCGATACTCGCGTTCATTCAAACGGGTAACCCTAACCTCGGAACTAAACGTTGCCTTAAAATGCGTCATACTCGTGTACCAGCACGATAGTTAATAACATTCCCGGTTTCCAGCGGAAGTAAACGATGTCTGTAAGTATAAAAGTGGTTGCTTCCGATACCGAAATTTCGTTTGCAAGGAATCGATAAAAGAAGTTCGATTGACAAGTTTCTTTTTACAGGCGACGAAACAGGTAAAGATTCATTATTACGCCGATATAACCTGTGCACCAGGCTCAATGGCTTGTTATGTATATTGTAGCAGCAGAATGCGCACGGCGAGCCGAAAGAAAGGAAGAGGAAAGAGAGCATTCTTGACCTATCGAAATATTTGGAAAAGAATATTCGAGTGAAGTTTGCTGGAGGAAGAGAAGCTGCAGGGATTTTAAAGGGTTACGATCCTCTTCTCAATTTGGTACTCGACAATACCACGGAATACCTCAGAGGTAATTAACAGCTCATTCGATCGAGATATAAATTTTTATTAATCTATCTCATTTTCTATAGATCCCGATGATCCATACAAACTGAATCAAGACACTCGTATGTTAGGCTTAGTTGTATGCAGAGGTACGTCTGTGGTACTGATCTGCCCAGTCGATGGAATGGAGTCTATTCAAAATCCTTTTATACAGCAAGAGGGCTAAGGGAACTTGATCGTCAATAATTTTACTTTCTACCAGAAATTCAATTCGAAAAACTCGAGTGGTCGGACTAATTATTTTTTTCATTGAGAGTAGATATAAGTTATCTTAAACTATGTAACACTTATACAGTAAATAAACATGATTTTTGTATAAAAATATGGATGCAGACTTTTTTTTAATAAATAAATGTTTATCGTATACCTTATTTCATTCCAAATTCATTCCTCAACCAAGGATATTCTTTGGGGCACTCGAAACATGTGTGCAAATAACGATGCGATTTCAGCACTCTGCTCGGTAATTTACAGCTACTAGGTAAATCACAGGCAACTTCGAACGGTTGGAATTTACGTGGTTCGCAGTGCCAAGGCTTAAAAGTTTCGATTAGATTTAAGGATGTCGGTTTCCGCATCCATTCGATTACCTGATAACTCGTTACGAAGTAGACGTCGGTCAATCGTAACATGTCGTCCATGAATTTCTAAAATCAATCGAACGACGCTATGGAAATACAGCTCTAAATATTGTTAGTAACTGAACGCGATTTCATGAACTTCACTCACGTTAAATGCATAAGAGTACGATGGGTTTTGGAACCAAGACGCGTGGAAATGTAATCCCAATGGCGCACGATTATTGAGGTAGTGCCTCTTGAAATTAACCATCAGTATCTTGTACACATCTTCGCCCGACATATCCGAGGGACACGAGTCGATTCTAGCGCAAGTGTAATCCTACAGGCATATTATTTCTTTAGTACATCGTTCTAATGGTGGACGAGAGAATCGTTCAACGATCTGATTACATACACCTGCCAGAATTTGATTTATCGGAAGTTCCCAGAGGCCCGTATACGAACGAGTCGGACAGAATTGATCAGCACCCACGCAATCGTGCGGTGGCCTGTAATCCAAGGTATAAGGCCATAGAGGTAGATCGAAAAACGGAGCTAACATAGACGAATCGTACAGGAATCCAAACTCCGACATCATCAGAAATTGTCGGTTCCAACCAACCCGTAAAAACGGCGCTCTTAAACCTATTACACGGATCGTTTCAACTCGAGTACATCGTTAAGGATCAAATATAATTATGTTCAAAGATATCGCTCGCCTCTTATTTCTTCCAAACGAACTGCAGCGTATTTTTTAATAATATTCGCCATGCCGACCATCTCGTCGAACCAATCCTCGACAGTAGCATTCTTCGACCACCAATCTTCCGGTCCCCGGTGCCTGTGATACCAAAAGAATTAGTGTACTATATTTAAAGTTGTTTGACGTTCAAGAGAATCATTTACGTGACGGAATGTGCTGCGATCTCGTGCCCGATGTTCCACAAGTACTGTACATCTCTGTAATTAGTGTACTGGTGACTGACGTAGAAAGTTCCTCGGACGGGGCACCCATTTGGGTTTTTTCTCTCGTCCGAAAAGATTTCTAGAACGAAGGTCAAAAATTAAGATAAGCGATCAACTTTCTCTGGATATGTATGATCGACTGTCCGTACTGGAGAAGAGCTCGAAATTCTCCGCGTTCACGGCATCGTCAAAGGTGATTGTTATCATCTGCGGCACCGTCGACGCTGTCAGATTTCCGGGAACCTGCGTCCCATCTTTCGAGCACCAGCAATTCGGTAAGCGGCATTGTATAGGATCGCATAGTAACGCACCGTTCGGATCGTTCCGAATATCTGCGAAAATCATATGCAGAGTTCTAGTAACTTGAACTGAAATCATATTCTCGTTCAATTGAATATTCCTTACCGCACCAAGCCTCGTCTGAACCATCGGGACAGTCGACGCTTCCATCGCAAAAATACGAAACCGGAAAGCATGTGCCATCTCCGCAAGCCAAATGCTTCTCGTCACAGTCTCCGTCGCTGAGCAGCGGTCTTGGTGGTTGCGGCTCTGTAAAACGCTTAAAGAACTTCCAATCACTATCCGATACGAAGAAGCGTCTCGTCCCTTTTGCTTGAACGAACGGAACAGAACATGAATTCTAGCGCGTACCTGACGTCACGTCGCAATTGTCGACGTTCGCCTTGAAATCGCACACCTGCCTAGAGACGTCGAAGAGCAGTCCCTGCGAGCACCGAAACTCGAACACCTCGTCGTCTGTCGGCATCGATGGAACATTTGTCAGAGGATATCACAGGGTAAGACAACGTAATCGTTTCAATTACCTAAGCAGAGATAATACTTGGCGCATTCTGCCGACGACCAGACATTATGCGCCGGTGCGTTCGGGTTTCTGTAGAACTTGTTGTGGTCGATGCAGGGCGTGTTTTCCGATTTCTCTTTTCCCAGTGACCTAACTGAAATACACGGAAATTCAATCGAACCCGGACTTTCTGCCAAAACTATCTTCGTTCCGTGTTCGATGAGCAGTCTAAATATGCTAAATCGATATAGTACAACGCGTGATCCCGGGTACACGTGTATTGTTCCAAATTCGCGACAAAACAGTCTGGCCAAATTCCGTACACTTTCGCTGTACCCTGCGAAACAATCGTTACGGAGGAGAAATCTTGTTATTTGCACCGATACATTTTCACCGAGCAAAAACGGAAGAGAAATTTCCAGCACGCATTGTGACTTTGGTCGCGGAAGTTCGTTAGAGGGACTCCGGATGGTTTCCGGCTTTTGCCGACGTTCCGACGATCGGAGCTCTTCAAAATTCGAATCCCCCTCGAGACGATTTGACGTCGCGTGTTAGGAAGCCGCGATTGGAAGGAAAAGATTCACACGAGCGCGGGACTCACCGAAAAATAGAACCGCGAGCAGGAGCAGCAGACGCAGCTTCGATTTCATGTCGATCGTCGGTCAGACGTTCCGTTTCTCGTTCTTCGTACGAGAGCTCGCACTTTCCAACTGACACCTCCCTCCAGAGCCGTGCCTTATATGATGAGTATTCGCTTTGCCCGTTCATCTTCCGGCTCGCTTATTTTCACTAAGCATTCGATCGGGAAAATGTGGAACAACGATTGTTCCCGATGCAGCTGCACCGTCCCGTGGCAAAAGATCGATTTCTCAATCGAATCATCAAAGAATTTACGCATCTCCTGTTTCCTGAAATAGTTACGCACGTTTCAGATCGTTAGCAATTATTCGAAATGACGGTTGACGTAACGTTCGGTGACCGCGACTCCCAAATCGGCCACATGGATTGGAACATACGTACACGTAGGTAGGTGTACAACTTTTATTGAATACGTAACGACTGGAAAAGCAGGTGAATCTGTAACAAGCTGGAAAAGGAGAAAGCACGAGGAGAGAAACGATTTTGAACGGGTTTGCGTGCGATGTGCGTCGAGTCTAGTCTGCGCGACGGAGTTGACTTCGACGATGACGCAAATTGCTCTTTTACAATAGATACGTTCGTTTTCGTTTCTGTTTTAGAATTTCTCAGAAGGTGGGAGCATAAAATTATAAAATGCCCGGAGCAGCTTCTTCGGCGTTAATCTGTTCCAGATGACGATGATCATGGATCACAGCGAGGCTCTATTTAAAATACCTCCTCCCTTCTGATACGTTTGCTATATCCTTTCAGCCTTGGACGAGTCCGCCGCGTGGTTCCGCGCAATGTTGATTATTCAACGAAATAATTGCATGTCCTACAGTTTTTCCAGCCAAAAATAAAGAGCTTCTCCTTTTACCCCTGGGATTGTAGATTCGCGCATAAATAAACCGAGCAGATGTCCAAGCAAGATGTTGACAGGTAGTCCTAATTAAACGTGTCATCGTGAGTTTGCCAGACATAAATGAGATCACATTTACAGTTGACGTGTCTATGGCAGTTCTACGTGTCTATGGCAAGATGTTCAATTACTACCTATAATATAGCATTGACCAGTTGAGAAAAAAAGACGAACGTCACTTTATTTAGTTGATCGTAGCATTCGTTTTTACTTCTGTGCCAGGGACAAGCTTCCAGGGCGATGATACTCATTGATCAGATATTATTGTTCCAACTGAATTGAACGGTAAAAAAGGGAGAAACTGATGAGAAATGATTGAGACGATGAAAGCCGGCGAAAGCGAATCGCTTTCAGCGAGTTAGGTGACTGTGTCATGGTGACACCGGCCACCACCTGAGCCCTGAGCCCCTTCCCTGTACATACCAAGCGCAACGTTACTGTGGTCCTTCTCTTAGGGGGGGTACTCTAAACTTAGCCACGACTCGGTGAGACAGTGAGACTCGACTCGAATTCAGTACAAAACCACCATCCTCTCGAATCCCTTTCCTCGTTGCTGTTTCCTGAGTTGCACGACCGCGACAATCTTAATTTGACCCGTTCTCGATTGATCTCATCTCCTATCGTCGGTCTCTCGATAAAGACACGGACGGAAAGGAAGTTAGCGCGCGAGAAGGAAGAGGAGCAGCGTTGATATTAACAGAGAAATATCACGGAAAATGGCGTACAGTTGGAATAATCGAGTAGATTTCATTGTAAGATTCCTTTACGGTTAGTACGCGGTAATTTAAAACAAGATGTGCGTGAACATACCTTGGTTAATTGCATCGATAATCCGTTCATCCACTCTTGAGTCGAGAGCATGCTACGAGTACCGCTGTTTCCCCAGCTGTCCATAAATATTGATGTGTGGTTTGAGTGAAACTCATCAATTCCTGTGGATCTTCCTCCTCTTCATCTCTATTTCCAATGAAGGTACACAAAATACGATGTATCTATTGCTCATCGTTTCGCAAACACATCCGGACTGAACTGTGCATGCATCCAAACTGTGCATAGTGTGCATTGTAATCCAAGCAATCTAGGCAGTGGCATATTAACGTCTTGAATGAACTGTTCGATACGAAAACGCAGGATTCCAAAGAAGCAGGGGACGAAGGGTACGTCCCGTTGGCTTCGGAGGATGTCACGCTTGTTTAGGATTTAGGTTGACTTCGAGTATAATCTCGGCGCCCGACGTCGCAATCGGCCGATGCCAAATTTAAGCTTGGCTCTAATTTGTTTTATGGAACATTCTATTTATCCTTTTTCACATAATGCAACCCATTTCCATAAGCCGCGAAGGTAAAATCGTACGAGTACTTGCTACGAACTCGTCGCGGTGAACGCGGGACCCGCACCGTTAAAACCGTGAATCGATTGTCGATTTCGTCGATCAGCGAGAACTCGATATGATAATTTGTATGATCGATCGATCGATAAAATTTCAAACGTTCTAGGTTTTGAGGTCCTACGTGCACTTGAGACTTGGCAAAATTCAAAGTATTTGGAGCGCGTCCAACTGTAGCATGAGAAAGATTTCCTTAGACGCGAATTGGCACGAATCGATCAATTAATTGGCCGCCTCGCGCGTGCTGACTACTGTACGTCCATCGAATAATAAACTCGATTAATGACGCGCGAACGATTGTGTTTAGATACGGATAATAATGGCCAGTTGGAGAAGCATGATTTCGAGTGCATGGCACTTAAGATGACCCTGATCGAGGGGAAGGGCGAGTTTAGTTATGGCCGATACCAGGAGAACCTGCACATTATGCTCTCTCTATGGGACGAAATCGCGGAACTAGCAGATTTCAACAAGGTACAGATTCGACTCTGAAGAATTCGCGTCGTCTCATCTCACATTGTTCACTTTCGTTCTCCAGGACGGAATCGTGACCATCGAGGAGTTCAAGGAGGCGGTACAGAGGAGCTGCGTCGGCCGAGAGTATCGCGATTTCCCGCAAGCAATGAAGATGTTCATCGACAGCCACTTTAAATTAGTAGACTTGAATGGTACGCGAATCAGACGGTACTCGCATGCTAACAATACGCGAATCATCGTTATTTATCTCCTAGACGATGGTGTAATCGCTGCCGACGAATATCGCTACAATTGTGTAACGAGGATTCCCGTGGACAACGTGAACATTTTGGACGAAGCCTATCAGAATCTTCTCAACGTGAGCCTGATTTATAGATTTTGTAGTTCGAACGGTACGCGTGACCGTTCTATACATAGAACCAACGTTCTTTCGATCTGACAAACCCTACTCGAGTCTCTATAATTCAACTGTTAAATAGTTTAAACATTGTTAATGGGAGAATCCATAAATGCGATCTATTGGTTCACTGTCATCGGGCTAATACGTTCCAGAAAGCTAATACAGGAATAATAAAGTATCTAGGTAGGATCGAATTAATTCCGCATTCGACAACAGAGAACAATAGCTTGATCGCCTGCCAAGTTTGATGGTCGTGTTTTACGTCCGGTAGCTGACGGAAGCATGTGTCAGTAACTAAAAATGTATTTAGACTACATCTATCCTGCCGACTGAGCGTTTTTAAGTTTATGCTGACGATCATGCGATCAATTTTATGGAAACATAAGAATATAAATCGCGATACCTGACATCGCGATGCCTGAAATTTAATCCAAGTTGAATCAAGCTATTTGCTCGCAGGACGACGACAGAAGACGCGGAGGACTGACCTTGTCGCGTTATCAGGAATTGTACGCGGAGTTCCTCGGTAACCCGGATGAGAATTGCCCAGCCGTTCACCTTTTTGGTCCCCTGCACGCTATGGGTTGACTTCCGAGGTAAATAGCGATTCTTGTGTGCACGTACAAAAGACAATCCTGCTGTATTTAATTGTTATTTAATTGTATGATTTTAAATGTAAGATGGCTCAATAAATCCTCTATTTTATTGTAAAAAAAAATATAGCTTTCGTGGATATTTCCGTATTGAGTTTGGCACGAGCGTCAGAGTTACACGACCACGTGTTTGGCATGCCTCTTCGCCATCGTCGTGTTGTTTTCGTATAGTATTGTTGTTTGCCTTCGAACCGTTCGTAAATAATCGTGCGAAAAGATACATAAGAAACTTGTATCGTACAAACAGAAAAATGTTTTATTTGCCTCGCGTGTTTAACACGGTAGTTATCGTGTCGTTCGGATATCCCTCTTTAATAGTCTCGCCGTGCTTTCTTCCCTTGCCCATCGCAAGGATTTAATACTGAATTTTAAATAGCGATATATTCGCCAATGACGATTTGCATATCACGCGCATACTTATCGCCGAGTTTCGGCTAGTTTTATTTAACATTCACAGTACTTTTTCTTTTTTCTTAACCATTTCTTTATACATGTAGGACATACTTTTCTTTATCGATCGTACGCTAAAACTCGTACACTGAACTGCTCGATGAGATTTATAAACATAGATTTAGACAAACAAGTTCTATTTCCGTACATAATCATCGTAACGATATGATATGATAACTTTTCTCAACTAGCAAGGGTCTACTAAAACTTTGAGTTACGGTATTTTTCTGTTGTTAGTATAAAAATTGTTGTTTTGTATACAAATACATAATTTTTTTTTATAAAACGCTCGAGTTTGACGAGGCATCGCATACTCGATTCCGTCTCATTTCAATCTCGCACACAAAAAGAAGCAATACTGTTCGAACTGATTAATTACGCTCTGAGCAGAAGCGTGCCACTTCGTAACGAGACATTCTATGGAGCGCGTGGAAATTAAATTTTAACATGCCTTATGCATCCAACTTTCAGTAATTAAGTCCAACTACATTTTCTCCTTCTCTCAATTGAACAGTTCTATTATGTGAAACGTCTTAATCGAACGACACTGCATAGTAATCGGAAGTTCACGAATAATTATTCTTCCTCCTTGAATATCTGGATATCCGATGAGATTATTGAGAATAAAAAAAAGATTGCTTAACATTTACAGATCATAAAAAAGAAATAGGAAAATTGAATTAACGATTGCTCTGAAAATAACGAATAAGAATACTCTCGTAGAATATTATCAGTTTAAAATGAAAAGAAAGAATGAGTGGTAACGCACTGAAATCTCAGACATCGATGTCACGAAGTTAACTCACGTTCACGACTAAATGTATCCGCATCGATCATCTATTTTTAAGGACGGTTAATGTTGTGGGACAATATTTTATATTTGTCTCCTTAGAGTTCTATGAAACTAATAAAAAAAGAGTCGTGAATAGTGATATTTTTCTGTTATGCTGAAGAATTATGCGACATCCAACATCAGAGAAATCGGGTGTTTTTTCGCGAAGAAAAAATGCATCCACACGTGGATAAATCGTAACGAGAATGCGCACATTTACCATCTGCCAAGCCATACACACTTACGCAATTTCATTGAAAATAAATAGATCGCAGAGATCAATTTCGAAATTAAAACTGACAATAGTTCAAATTCAATTATCGATACTTTCGATCGGCTCGATTGTACCGTTTCGGAAACCTCCCGCGAATACACACATAAAGCTTTTAGCTATAGAACAACGTTAAATTAAGAGACATTCCTCTACAATTAAATATCCTACCTCCAACGAAATCGTAGTATATATACGAAATTCCACATTTTCCTAATTACAAAATACTATACCAAGCATGAACTTCATAGCTCATTCGATGCTAGATAGGTGGTTATTAAAAATATTTAAAAACAATCTTCCCTTTTGTTTTTGACCGTAATAAAAATAATTCTGCATTCATAAACTGCGTTAAAACAGATTTACGTTCATTCTCTCTAAGTAGAAAAGTCAACTTCACCGATTGACTCGGACGAAGACTAACATTAGAAGGTCACCGAATCATGTGACGGATCTATGGAGTTCACACTGGCGTAGGAAGTGGTTGGGTACACATGGTTGTCATTTTGGAGTAAAGGAGTGTCAGGCCCGCATACTTGACTCCTAAATTCGTTTCTAGTCCCATTGACTTGTTGGTAGGCTCCTCTACGCCCTCGGCGGGACATCACGCCTGTAAACATCAGTAAAAAAAATTGATCTTCGCTCTCAGCTCGACACGATCGTATCCAGCTAAAAGCATCTACTACGTCAGTACACTGAAAACTAAAGCAAATAATAACGGTGCTCGTAAAAGATAAAGCGCTAACAATGATGTGCTTAAAAAGAAAGAGGGAGGCATGAGATCTATTCACCAGTGACAATACAGATTTCCATATCCCTTCTTTTACGTAAAGATTAAAACTACATACGTTCATAGCCTATTATTAATTAGAACGATCTAATTGCGAAATAAACAATTATTTACGCAATAGCCAACTAACCACAAGAGCACAGGGATATGTATCCCATCCCACACTCATCGACGCACACAGATCCCGTCACAATGGGCACATTTCGAAGCTTCGAACATATAATGTATCGCGAGTACTTGTGTAATCAGAGTCAAGCAAGTGCAGAAACTTCCACTCGATGTGTCTGGGGCATCTCGAAATGCCTATTCCATTCATTTTTATCGAACGATTTTGGAGTAAAGCCCGAGCAAGTGTCGCGGTAAAGCCGAGAGTTACGTATTGAGAAGCCGAACGAACGGAGGAAAGAAAAGTAAAGTGTCCACGAGACGCCAAGTAGGATAGTGTAAAGAGAATTATTATTGTGTGTCCTGCGTACCTATCTTTCGTATTCGAGCACTCTGAAGGTAGGTGTGCTTGTGGTGGGTGTGGGAGGAGAATTGAGTTTGCTTACGCGATGATTCATGGATGTCTCCTGTACGTTGTCCAGATTTCCCTGTATTGCTCTCTTGTGATTCGCCAACTTTTCTCTGTTCATTGGTGTGCCTAAAAGGACCAGAAGCCGCAACGGAAGCTTGTTTAATTTGTCGTTGCATTTTTCATTCTCTTTTTGCGAGAAGCAAACTACTAGGTCACCAGAACCAAATTTTTGTGTTTCGTGTTACTGTGTATAAGAATACGAAACAAAGATAAACTAGTTAACATAGAAGCAAAGAAACATAAGCGAACATTTGTCTGTAAAATGAAACCTTCTTGCATGTTGATCTTATATGTTGTAATATCCAGAGATATGAAAATTAAATAATCAGCTCGTTTCGCTAACACTGGTGTTCTCCTTTTTCTTTAGTAATACTACCAATGCGACTTTGAACGATGCAATATGAATTAGAGTTTTATGTGAAATCGTGCTATCAGAAGCATATCTGTTCATTTTATCTTACCAATATAGCTGAGTAATACTGGCAAAAATATTAAACCATGTGCAGCACCGAACAGCACGATGCCCAGATACATCCTAAAGTAGAATACCTAAAAACGCGTTTAATTGTATGTTATTGTACATATAGAAAATACGTATAACACGAATGAAGCAGAATTATTGTACCTGGAATATCTGACTCTTCGCAAAACCGAGTACCACGATTCCACCGAATTTGGTAAGAGTGATACCGCTGAAGATCGAACTTCCCATATTCGTCAATGCGTCGGCAACTCTGTCGACTCTCGTTGTTCTCACTGACACTGAGAACGAATGTACCAAGTGGCTACAGAATTCTACGGCAATTCCAACAGCCTACGGAAACGGTGAACAGTTAATTACGTCGATGTCCATCGATTTCCTAAGTCGCTGAAATTTGAGGTGCTTACCATAACGAGATTGACGAGAGACACGGCGTTTAGCGTTATGTGCCACCAATACATCAGACCACCGATGTTGACAACGATCATAGTGATCGTTATCACGACGACGATAGACGAGAATATGTCCAGGCCCATCAACAGGAAGGTCACGACGAATATGGCGATCAAAGATATCCCTATGCTGAACAACGTGTCAGGCCACATAGTTAAATACTGTTCGTAGAAAACGTAGAACACGCTGTACGGGAACACTTCAATGTCCGCCTCATAACCGAGTTCAGTCAGACGTTTGTTGATTGTGTTTGTTATATTTGCAGACACGGCTCTCGCGGCTCTCATTGATTCATAATAATCAGCGGACGATTTCAAAATAGAGTGATAAGCCATGAAATACGAAGCACCGACATCTGACAAACCCGTGGCGGGGTCGGTGACGTAATTAACGCCGTGACCGTAAGCAGCATGGCCACCTTTGGCGCAGCTTTCATCAGGATTATCTTGCAAGAAGAAGGACACGTATCGGTCGAAATTGGATCCCAAGGGTCGACCCATTCTATTTAAAGGTATATTGCACTCTGTGCAATATGTCGGAGATGCTGAAAACGTAAATTTAATTCTTCGTTCATATTCTTTGATCATATCATGTGCTACAGGATAAAATATGAAAATTCTCTTTACTCGTATGTGGGCAGAATGAATCGTTCGATTTGAAGTATTTGCAGCACGTCGGCAACTGAGACCAATCGAGATAATCGTCTAACCAGGATGCTGCGGGTTTCGCTATGTACGACCTAAAAGAAATAAATCTCTTAAATATTTACTGTTCCATGCTCTACGATTGAAGATACATTTTATATCTCTTACATGTTTGGCTGTTTCGATGCTATAAATATTTGAGTAGCTAAAGAGTCAATGTTGCAATACTGACCGCCGCAGACAAGGTTCTGTACATATAGATCGGAATAGTTCAAACCTTCTTTAACAACGAAATACATTGGTGGTCCGATAGACAAATAGCTATTTAAAAACTGGAAAACAAATCAAAGTTACGACTCGTATCTTGTATCTGTGTTGATCAGTTGGAAATATGTTACGCAAACTTACTTTGAAGTATTTTAAAACGAAACTATCTTCGGGCATAGAAAGTTCTTGATCCAATCCAACTTCGATATGTGGTACGACCGCGATACTCGAGCAGAGCCAGCCGAAGAATATCAACATAACACATACGCGAACCCATTTTTTTAACAGTATCGGAACGTAAACGACCTTGAAAAGTTTGTACAGAAGCCCATTCACCGCTTCTTCGCCGCTGTCTTTCTTTGAACCGCGGATGAAGCAGCATACATCCAATCGATTATTCTAATAAAAAGTTATAAAATATTAATCATGCTAAATGATTCAGAATTACTCATTCCTTATTTCTATTAATACTTACTGCTTGTCGGATAGTGTCTAGTGCTAATAAACTAACGAAACACGTCACTTGAAGTACAAAGTCTATCAATAACGCCATACCGGCATACAGCGCAAAAGCTCTAACAGCAGGCATATCGGATAATCCACCTAAAGAGATAAAACATTTTCAATGTTCTACTGTCGTATATAATTAGACGTCTTAGATGTGCGGTTCTTTGGTATTTACCAAGGAAAAAACAGCAACTTTCTGATATGCTTGTAAGTAGCATGCTTGGCCCGACTTGACCGAGGGTACGCCCGATATGTTCAGGCACTGACTCATTCGGACGGCGACCTTCCCTTTGATGAGTTTGGACAAGAATGAAAATATTGTCGACACCGACGGCGAGGACGAGGAACGGTATGACTTCAATAATAATGAGCGTAGCCGGAATGCCGACGAAACCAAACAGACCAACAGAACAAACAACAGAGGCCAACACTATAAGTACACCGCCAAGGCCGAGAGTAATTTTAGAGTCAATCTAAAAGTGAAAACGTGGTCGTCAAATCCTTGCGTCGATTGTACGAATATGCGCAAATATATTTTATTGTCGTTACCAAAAGTCGGCTGCAGCTTTTCATCTGACCGAGTGAGATAGCGATGTACGCGAACATAATTATGTACGATACGAGGATTGTTAAAACATCTGATTGGGATTCGCGGTTCAATTCGTCCTCGATAGAACGTTCCGAAGTGAAAGCGATGTCCATAAATGCCGGCTTCTTCGTCGCTATCCACTCTTTCATAAACTTCACGTAACTATAATTACCAAGTTATATAATTACAGCGGTGAATGGTTGAACATTGGTCTCTTTTAAGTATATGATGTACGTACCTCTGCTCCCACTCCATTGCTGGTTGAAGTTTAGATTTGTTATGATAATTATTTACCAGTATGGTTAAAATTATCGCTGTGGCTTTTTCGTACGGAGAATTTCGAAGATCTTGGCCTTGTTTTAAAAATCCTCCAACTGCTATTGCCGGTTCCACCGGACCCCCGTAAGGTGCAAGACACTCAGGATTATACGGATTCCTAAACGATAATACACGTGAAGAATTATTTTAAAAAGTTACTCGATTAGTCCACACGAATATCAGGCGAAAGCAACTTACTGCGTGCAGACTAGAAAATGGTCCAAATAATTTACTGTAAAATTGAAGTCGTCCACGGAGGAAGAATCGAAAGTTTCCATACTGTCTTGAAAGTATCCCCAAACACTTTGAATGACGCATTGCGATGCGGTTACTGCCCCAGTAAATGGACTGGTCAATGGGGCGAGACATATATTTGCTAAGGTGTAATTGCTGGGCGTAACGATTTGTTTTATTTCTTCTTGCAACTTGTATACGGTTTTCAAGAAGGTGTCGTTAAATACTGGGCCGTACGTTATCGGGCCGTTCGACGTATTATGCACGATCTAAAAAATTTAATACAGTTTTATCTATCGTCTCATGAAAAATTCGTTTTATCCATGTATGAAACTTACATTCGGCAAACCGACAGACGTTATGATTATTTGCTCGGTGCGGTAGAAAGGTTCGAAGTGTTCGTCGAAATATTTCCTTTCGATTCGGGACCGCGATTGCGGGGCGGCCCATAATTCGACCGGGTCGGTGGTAACATAAATGTATTTTATTCCATATCCAAGGGTAATGATAAAGAGAAAACCAATGAAGAGAACGAACCATGGCCGCGACGCACACGCTGAAAGGAATGAATAAAAGAGATCCCAGATGCGAAACTGTGCGTTACGTGTAATCGTACCCGGAAAAGTAGTCTGTTATGTACCTGTGCCCCACCAACGGAAGAATTCCACTAACAGTTTATCAGTATTCGCGCCTAATTTTTCGATGAACGTCGACTGTTCTTCTTCGTCTAATCCGCCCGGCAAGTCATCTGCGGATATCACACCTATAAAAGTTTTTGCGTTACGAACGAGGAAATATGTATTATTGTATACGTCCAAAAGTGCTGCAATTAAATGCGATAGAGTCATAGACGGTGCGCTGTAAACAAATACATTAAGCGGCTAAGGTATACGTCCGAACGTAAATAATAAAAAAGAGCTGCAACAGAAGATTTGGTATAACAATAGAAGCAAACAAAACTCTGTCCGTGTTTAGAAACTGGAAGCTTTTGATATCAAATATACAGTAGCAATAATAATGCGTGTGTTTATTACAGAACAAAGGATGGATTAAAAGTGTAAGGTAGAAATGAAACAAATTCAAACGTAAGTTATTCTACTTAATCATGAGAAGAAGATGCGACCAATGAATTTCGATGCTGTTTAATAAATTAATTTTAGGACTTTCGATGGCAGCTAGACGGATATTACATATACTCCAAGTATTAATAGCCCAGGGTGTAGAGTGATAAATACATGATGACGACGTGTTTATCGAGGAAAATGATGAAACACGTACGAGGAATGGATGATGACCAAAAGCGCAGTATCGTATAAAGAGAAAAAGATGATACAATAAACATAACATAAGTTAAGGGTCAAGCACAAGTCCACATATTATAGATACAGTTGATAGGAACCTACTGGAACGCTTAGATTGAAGTGGGCTGTCTTCCTGGTCTGCGGCGAGAGCAATACGCGCACCATCTCCTGGGTGATGTAACCCCGCGGCTAGGCGTCTACCCACCTGCCTTCCTACCTCCTCACCTCGTGCAACTATACATATACGCACACCATACAGACATAACTGAATGATCCGATTCGGAATCAAATTTCTTTCAGTTTTATACAATTTTCATGTGATATTTTCGTGATAACAGAGTTCATAACGGGAAAAATGAAATGTTAAAAATTTGAAATCTCTTCACACTAATGGCAATACAACCATTTCCCTGTGAGGTATTCGTTATACAGTTCAATGTTATTCTTGCGAATGTTTTAATATCCACACATAACTGCTACACAACGATTATCGAGCATTAATTATAGGAAAAATTAAAAAAAGTAATGAAAAAAAAAATACTTATCGAAGCATAGTGCGGAATTTGTCAAATTAATTTTTAAACCACAACCAAAGAATAAAGGTAATATAACACAACAGTAAATATGATCCTGTTACCAAGGAGAAAGGACAGTGGTATGATTCAAAACAATTTATACTAGAATTCTCTCGTTTAAAACAGCGTAAATGATAATTGCGTAAGTAATTAGTCACTAATGCGATTAGAAAAAAATATTACGCCAAATTAATCCTGAATAAAATATCACACAAGAGTTTAAATAAAAATAGATATGTATGTTTCACACACAGCGATTCGTGTTTTTCTTAATGTATATAAGGGTGAATCTTCTCTGAGTAAATGATTGATTAATAATTTAAGTTTCTTACCGATTTGCTTCCTATTAGTGAAGCACACCATAGAGAGCAGGAAGAGAGCCGAACCGGACAAAAAGATGATGATCATCGTCACGGCGTATCCATCGTAACCGAGAATGGTGAACGGTTTTGGTAATGGAGGAGGTGGTGGTGGTACCGGACAGCTAGATTCACAGTCTACGCAACTGCACGCTGGTGAATCTTTCTAAAATTGTTAAAAGAATCATTTTAATAGAACTTTCTTCGTTCACGCCTTACGCCTAGACTAACTGTGCCCTATTATCATACTTATACGAAGTAAAAATTGATGTCACAATTAGTTCACTTAAAGGTGTTCACAGTTCGCTAATCATCAGTTACGACTATGAAGACCAGTACTCACATTTAATGCCTTGCTGCAAGGAGTGACTGTAGGGTCCACCGGAGTAAATGGACCCACAGGTTCATCTGTGTTTATATAGGTAATTTGAAAAGGTACATATGGATTGGTCGCATCTCCCATGTAATGGAACCATCTCAATGCAGTACATTTACTGGCTCCCCATATCCCACACATTATGTCCAGCGCTAATTGTCCACTGCTGGGTACCGACACTTTGTTACAAGAATTGAATGTACCTTCCAGATACTTATTCGTTATATAAAAATCTATTCCGTTTATATACTCCACGCCTGAAGAAAACGTTTAGTTTCAATACCACTAATTCTAATTTTGCTGATTCCCATAGTCTGTCCAAAGGATTCTAAATTACCTTTATCATCTTTTTGTATCTCGGTAACATTGATAAACTTGCTCTGTTGTCTGCTACAAGTGAACTCACAGAAGTGCTTTACTAAGTTATCTAAACAGCTCGGACATCTGCTTAAAAAATTAGCTGCCAGCTTAATGTTCGTATCCATTGTTGTCAGCTGATTCGTGTCGCAGCAGGTATTAATCCCCTGGCCAGAATCGACCATTAAATGTGGACAGTTTTTATACAGTAACTTTTGCCCCGCGACGTCGAGGGGTTTAGGCGGTCCATTGTAAAGACAATTTTTTTTGTGCATCATCGGATCCGTGTAACATTCTCCATACCAAATACACTGACCGTCATCTGCAGCAGATACCTGTTGGCCAATTGTGGAACAATTGTTTGTCAACCAACCCTTCCATTTTTTTACATGAAATAAACTATGTTTACGATTTCGTAAAAAAGAAAACGTATAAATCAATCGGTCGAGCGAATACAACGATCTATGTCGCTGTATGTATTATACAACATTTATATGTAATGAATCACAACTCTCGAGAACAGTACAGAAAGGCTTTAACATTCTTACGCGCTCGATCTTTCGGTGAATAAAGGGAATGATACTAAATGACGTCAGGGAATGATATTAAAATTGTTACAGATTAAAAATTAGTCATCCGAGTTATCATGCAAAGTAAATAAAAATCTATATAACTGTATTCTCAGAACAATTATATCGGCGGTTCATACGGGTAAGCAACGAACAGAACGAAAATAGTCCTGATTCACATTATCGAGAATTATCTTTTTATTCGGAGACGCAGAAGTGTACGTATAAAATTAGAAGCCTATCAAACGGATTTGTATAAACAAAATAGTTTGATGTCAGTACGGAGACGCAGGTAAGTAAATGTTGCGAAATGTGCACGATCCAAAGAAGATTCATCTTCTTTTAAGCGGGAAAAATTGACTTCAATAATGACGATAAAAAAATTCGTGTTGACCTTGCCCCCGACAAATTAAGCTTAAGTAGTAACGTGTTCCTTTAACTGATAAGGCAAAGGTATAATTAAATTTAATAAAGACTCTTTGGTCGGCGTCTTTGCCGATAGGCTTTCACGAGAATCGGCCGAGATGACGTCACGAATCGTTCCTCGGCACCAGGGTGTGGTGTAATATACATCGAAATCGTTCCGAAGAGGTTCCGAATTTCGCAAGGTACAGACTTACCGTGAGAAGCAGGCTCCAAGCAGCGAACACAAACAACATTACGTTTACGCGTGACATATTAACATCTGTCGAAGTCCGAAGATGATCTCCGGAAAATACACAGAACCAGCGCATAGCGCGTTTATAGCCACGGACACGACCGATATTCAACGACTACGGTTCCCCCGAGCACAATTTTCACGTTGACGGTGCCTTATCTCCACACCGATGCGTATTCTTGCACTCGTCTCGAATGATCGACGAAGGAACGGTAAACGACACACGATCAGTTTCACCGAACGAACGACGCAACTGGAAATTCTGTTCGTCTCCAACAACGCACAGCACAGTACAATGTGCGCAGCTCGGTGGCGACGTTAGTGTCTGTGTCTGTAATCACAGCCGTCAAATATATGATTCTACGCGGTTCGGGAGTCCTCGGCTACCCTCGGTTCCTCTTCGCCCTCGAAGAGACATGCATTGTAATTGGAAATTCGAAACTCGTTCTTAAGTTTCGATGACAATACACGTTATTTATTCGATATTAGATGATCAAACGATTCTTTCAGGACATTTTCTGACCAACTGAATAAGTTGGTAAAAAATATTTTACACACCCGGAATTCGAATCACGATCACCATCGATACATTTATACATACATATAATAAATATACATTTTTATTGTTAATTTACACAGGCTTGATTTTATCGATTAATGATTGCGATATAGTTTTTCGGGACTTTGTTTTATCACCTTCTATTGAAGAGCGAACACCTGTGCGCGCGTTATCTAACTTATGATTCAATGTTGATGTTACGAGCTCGATCCTAATTACAGAAACTAGCGCAATAAACAAGTGGTACTGTTCAGCCGATGATTTTCTTTCTATACACAGTAGTAAATTAAGAAAAGTAAACTGGCTGCTCGTTGTTCAATGCACGGTCGTCCATAATCGTAATTATGCTGCTTGCATAACTTATCAGTTTTTGTATGTATATGCGTCGATAAGTCCGAGTCCGATTCGCGAATTTTTCGTGATCTATGAATCATTTCACAACACATTATGTAGACTTGTCCCCGACGCATTACGATTAGAATGCGTTTGAATGTATTCCAGCCTTCGGGAAAGACTTCCTAATCGCTCTCATAGATCTATTCGTCGCGACGGGATGAAAATTCCGAAATACAAAAACGATAGAATTTCCATAGAAACAAAGAATCCCATTTATGCAGTTTGGGCTACGATTATCGTGAGAAGAATGCTTAGGAATCGAATTTTCCTATAAAATACGAGCAGAATTTCGGAGTAACAACATTTGTTCGAACTTGGACTTGTCGAATAATTTAAATTTAATCATTCGTTCAATCTACAAGCTCAAATATTCAGAGTGTTTAAGCTAAAAATAGAGAACCGCCGGTGAGCTGGCTGTTAAGAAAAAACAGACGATATTCCTCGCGCTGGAAACTTCCGTAACAAAGACGTGGGTTATGGTTTGCCATGCGGGTATTGTTTAAATGAACGTTAATTTGGCCAATAAGTATAGACGTTCCGTTGTCCGTTACCACGTAACACACGTCGCGGCAAGTGCGAAAGGTGACATTTAAGTATAAAGTCTTCCTGTTTTTTCATCATTTCGGAAACCAGTCTCACGAGATGCCGTTCAAAGGCAAATTACGTCGTTAATGATACTTCTCAAGTATACAAACATGATTCAGTAAATATCTTAATTATTGGCGTGCATTCGAAAGCTGCGATTCCAACGAATAATCGAAATGTTTGTAATTATCAAGCAGACGTCATTTGTAACTTTGAGATACTTGAAATGACACAGGAATCGAATGAATAACGATAAGATAAAATGATCTTAACAGCTGCCAAGAGAGCATGATACATTATTGATAATTGACATCGATTAAACGCATTAACGACGTGAAATAGAAAGAAAGAAGACCGTGCGAACAATAGTTATACACTCCAGCTCAAACATTTTATAGACCCAGTGATTATGTTATAACTTGATTAAAGTAATTAAAGATATTTCATTGACTATATATTTAATGAACACCCTCGTAATTTCAGAGTAATTAATTCTATTCCTTTAGCGTGAGATAGTGAGAATGTAGAGATAGAAAATACATAAGTCCAACTAGTAACGACGCATAGAAATCATTATAGAGACAGCGTACGTATCACATTTTTTATGTTTCTGTGCAAAGTCGATCCGAAATCCGGAATCCCTTGAGACACCCTTATATGTATGTAGCTGTAGTTGTCAGATAAAAAAAGATCCTATAATATTTCCTCCTAACTCCACTCGTAAAGGAGTATTTCACGATGGACCAAATAATTAATCGATTACTCCTGAAGTATTCGAGATAGAAAAAAATTGTATATGACCTTTCTTGTAGGTAATAGCCGTACCTACAACTTTTCTTCAAAGTATTTTCCGAAATTCCGAGAAAAAACAATTTTCAATTTTCCGAGATTTTCCCTTATGGATTTCTCGAAGTTTTCATTTCTTATAAATAACAGTTTACCTGTCGCAGCTAGCGAAAAAAAGCAAAAGTTGTAGCTTTAGTCGTCAACTACAAATAAGGTCCTATGCAATTTCCCAATTAAAATTGTTTTCATTTTGAAACGTCAAAATTATGTATTTTGAAGACAACTATAATTTTTTCGATACTACTGATCGCCCATTGACCGAGTCACTGGTCTAGGTCTAGACACCCTGCTGATAACGCGTAACTAGGTCACTGTGCCAAACGCCGCGCCCAAACATTGATATCCTGTATCTCCGGAACGGATTGAGATATTGGGATGAATCATAAGTGATTTTTTCGCTTTGCCTTCCTGTATTAACTGAGACAGTTTTCAATCAAAAGAATGATCAAATAAAAGTGCCACAATTATTTAAATTCGAAACGTTCTTGACATTTCAATAAGACAGCTAGTAGAAGAAGGTATGGAGATATGATCGTACATAGATGCAATCTCTATTGTTTATGGAGCTATAATTATATGTACCGACAATCTCAGTTTATTAGCCACGTACACCGAAGTGCATCGAAAAGGGATGAGGGCGGCAAAGAGACCGAGAGAGCGCGCAAAAGATGCCATAAAAATGCTTTATACCGTAATAAGAAGGTACGTAACAGAGTTGCGAGCTAATGAAATTACGCACGTAATCGCGATGGGTTTCTCGAAAGGCAGAACGTTTTCTTCTGCTGATAGAAGATGTTCCATTGGTTACGACTGGGTAAGTACCGCGGCGAACAGAGCAGAATCGTACGAGGACTGAGTTAGACGATAGAAGAATCGTAAGGACTGTTGAATTGTCTTTAGGAGCGATCGTAGGATTATCGGTATGGTGGACGATCGTGGTGAACGGTGAGGGGAACGTGATACGGAACGAGGACGTTTGCGGGGTTCAAAACGGGCGGCGATTGTACTTGGAACTCGGCGAGAAGGGTGTCTTATACGCGAAGAACGTCTCGTTCGCGAAGAACGAGCCGAGGCAAGATGGTTCACGAGCGTACACGAGCGGTAGCAACGGTAACAGCACCAGCTCCCATGCTCAATGCAGCCTCGAGCTGGTTACGTGCCCGTCCTGTGTGATAATCGTTACCTTCGAGAGCATCGCGTTGTCGCATCACTGCGGCGATGGTAGTGTCACGTTGGATAGTCCGTGCAGGTAACGTGTGTAAAACTGGTTGACGTACAGACGGGGTCAGTATGAAATATCATTTCGTTGGTCATTGATTTTGTTATAATAATTTTTATATAAACACGAAATTTAACTGGACTCTCTTTGCAGATGCGACTATGTGTGGATCTCTGAGCCGCCGTACGAGGATGTATCTGGGACTCCATTCTGTGGTTTGTATGCGCCGATCACGTACAGATCCAGCACGAGGACTTTGTCGATCACGCTGTTCTACAGCCAGTCACATACACACGCGTTTACACTCGAATACATGGCGGAGAGTACGTGTAACGATTTTAAATCAATGGGAAATAGTAAAAAATGCGAGACGATTCTTTTGGTACAGGAAACAGATTGCAACTGAAAGGGACTGAGCTGACGGCGAATGGACAAGCCGCCAAGGGTTTGAACAGCACTGGAGGTGGGATTCTGACGTCTCCGTTCTTCCCTGCTCGCTATCCTCGGGATTTAGGTTTGGAATACATAGTCACGTGTCCGAGCGAAGCTCCGTCCTGTCGAATCAGGTTGCTCTTCAGCGACTTCCAACTGGCAACTGTATCTATAATGGAGGTAAGCGAATCGAGATCGAATTTCCACATTGATCACCTATTCAAAATTCCTTATGTAGTTCTACGACTGGAATGGGCAACGCCTGGACGTAAGTAGCGGCGCGAGGTTTCGACCACCAGTGATAATGAGCTCTGGTCCGTCGCTGCTAATACGATTCTATGCCAACGGTGGTACCGGGCTAGGCTACAAAGCTTTCTATTCGTTCGTGATCGGCCATCCGTTGGACAAGTCCGTGCAACCGATAACAGACTGTGGCGGGTATGTAGAGAACCTCGGTGGTACCATCACTATGATGGACATGGTCACCGAAGGGGTGAAGACGTACGACTGCGTATGGCTGATCAGGCCACCGAAAAATTTTCTCCATATGAAGACACATATGTATTTGAAAGTAATCACCTTCGCGGATATGGGTGAGTTCAATTGCGAACCAAAAATCGAAATACTCTAGAAACCATAATAAATGATGGCCGAGTGTGAAGTTCGATGTCCCGATTTTAGCTGGGAACACAGAGCTGCTTGTGAAGCAGGGACCGACATCGGCCCTCCAACCCCTCGAGATCCTCCGTCACCCGGCGAGTCAGGTGCAACCACCGAGGCACCACGAACACGTGGCTCCTGTGACGAGCGGATTTCACGTGAGTCTTCGCGGAACGTTCGGGCCGCCGTCGCATCTCGCCATCGCTTACGCGGCCTTCAGCTACATGGGTGAGCAGACACGCGAGAGGAAAGACAGATCGGAAAAACCGACGTGATCGAGTCGATTCTCATCTCGCGATCGCACGTTCGCAGACTGTTTCGCGGGCTCGGACTTTCTTTGCCGGAACCACAGGTGCATACCGAGCCAGCTGAACTGCGACGGGTTCGATCACTGCGGCGACAACAGCGACGAGCCGGCTACGTGCTTCCGTGGTAAGTAGACGCCAAGTTCTTATTATAACTTCTTCAGTGACTAAACTAGGATAATATGAAACGATTGCCTTCCAAATCTGATCTGAACAATGCACTTTCTTCCCGTTCTCTTTGCTTTCTAATAAACTAATGCGAATCTCTTCTAATTAATATGTAATAAATGAATAATTTGTATAGATTGGGAGGTCGAGCCGCAGGATCGGAAGTGGCATGCGAACAAGGCGAACTACTACTTCCCGAAGATCGACCGATACCCGGACCTGAAGACTGCCACTCTGGTGTTCGTCGCTAGCAGCCTCGGTTTGATCGTGCTCATCTCAGCGCTGATCATCCTCTTGTATAAAATGGGCGCCAGGGCGAGACAACAGAGGGAATTGCAGTCGAGGTTACAAACGATCAGCGAGCTTCTAGGTAGGAAAAACAACGGTTCTTGACTCGTTCGTGCCGCGATGATTCAGTTCACGGTCGAACACGGTTTAAGAACCTATGCGCTAATTAAGTAGTAAGCTAGAACGATGATGCCGCCTACGAGGAGTAGCTAGTCCGGCGATACATCGTCGATTTGTCAGCGTTGCGTCACTTCGGATCAGTGTTCGATATCACAGACGGGGCGCGAATCGACGAGATATCGGTTCCCGACGATCCTCCGATGTACGAGGCACCGCCTGGCTACGACGAGGTCGTCAAGCTCGGGCTCGAGACGGAAATCGTCGCGCGGAAGAAGAGAAGACTCCTGGGCCGCGAGACGCGAAACAGGAACTCCCCGAGTCAAAGCTGCTCGTAAGCGAACCAGAAGTTAGTAGAGTGAAGAGCCTCTTCGTCGTTACGTTCGATTAATAAAAACATTTTCTTGTCTGGCGTTCGCTCGATCGATCAAAGGCAGGACGCCGGCTTGTCCTCCGTTTGTTCCGTGGTCGAAGCAGCGAGCACCAGCAACGAGAACAACGCTGATCAAGGAGTCCCCGTTCCGAAGACTACCGTTCGGTTACCAGAGAGTCCGCCGCCTCCGTACGTCACTCCTCCGGGATCGATATCACGGAACTTCGGCGTGCTCGGGTTCACGGCTACCTCGAACGCACGTGAGTCTTTCTGCTGCGTTGGATCAATAGGTAAATGAATAAACAAACGGAACGTTTGTGGGACAGGTGAACGAGAAGATGACGAGGAAGAAGAACTGTCTCGTCGCGACTGGTTCCGTCAAGCCGGTGATCAGTTCTCTCCCGCCAAGGCTCCGACGGCGAGCACCGAGACTCTCGAGCGCGTGTCGTTGTCCGTCGACGTGGACCTTCTCGGTGCGTATCCTCGGAATCTCGAAGACGGTTTGAATCAAACGGCAGACGTCTCCTGTGATCCGCAGCGGAGGATCTCGCCCGCTGCTTCGACCGATACGGACTCGAGAGACGAAGAAGGCGTTGCCGCAGAGGAGGCGATGGAAACAGGCGAGGCGCCTCAACTTTCAACGGTCGAGGAGCCAACGGACGGCGAACGGGTTCTCGATACGGTCGTGGGTCGCGTCAGTTGCATCGTTAGGTCATTGGAGAACGTCGGCGGATGTTCCTGCGAAGGTGCCTGTGGCTGCGCGACTGTTCAGCGATCCTCGTCCTTCAGGGAACGAAGAATCTCCCGGCTCTGGCCTGCTCGTTGCCCATCCGTTGAACAATACCTAACCGACAAGCTTAACGCGGAGAAAGACAGGAGGGAGCAAGAAACTAAGAGGAAAGTGACGGAGGAGGAGGACGAGACCGAGGAGGAAGAAGACGAAACGAGTTCCTTCAAATCGAGAAGTACAATTGTCAGATTGCTCGGAGCGAGGAAACGTCAGCACAGCGGTAGCGGAGGGTCCATGGCCTCGACGACGACCTCGACTCCTCGCGGCACCCTCCGCAGATCAGTCAGGAAATTCTCGGTGTATACTCGCGACGGCTGTTTCCGCAGGACGTCCTCGTCCGCCTCGGCGATCAGGTCTATCAGCAGTTATGAGAAATTGAACAACAGCGAGTTCGAGAGGGGCAACTTGCATGCTTCCGACCCAGCGATGATCGCCTACGGACAGCGGAGAGTCTGCGCGCGATCGTACGCCAGCTGCGATCTGGAGAGTCTCTACGAGAGTATCAAGATCTTAGACGGGTTCTTAGCGAGGAAGGGCTTGGTCCCACACAATCGAAAGCAGTCGGTGACGGTGATGCTCTTTGGAACGCCTGAACACCGAACGATTCGACGTCGTGACACTGGAAACGAAGAAGAGAGGATTCGAGGCGAAATTCGCGTCTCGCGCTACAGTTTGGACGCTCTTTCCAACTGATCATGAATTAAGTACGATCTCGTCTCGTCTTTTCGGACGAGAACGGTCTAGAGAGATTGGTTACATTTTACTTTAAAACTCGAACGAAGGAAGGTGAGGGGAAGAAATCGTGATGTATTTCGAAATCGATTTATTTCGTATCGTTGGCATGTAAAGATAAAAGCTCTGGATCGATTCACTTTTGTTTCCCTTTTCAGTGTAAGTAAGTTCTGTTGTCAAAGAGACGTAGTAAAATATATGTCTATGTATACGACAAGCACATACTTGTACACCCGCGTAGATACGTGTAAGTATACGGCGATCTTACCGCTTAACGACGACGTGCCACGGATTTCTCTGATTTACTATTTGGTATAGGAACAATGGATTTCGCTGTTCGCGTCTACGGGTCGTGGAGGCATAGTTTTACGACGGAGGATAAAGAACAACGAGCCACATGCATTTCGATAGACTGCAAACTTTTATGCAAAATAATACATTTATACGTGGTAGTTGATTAAAAAAATCCGTTCCAAGTTGAAGTTTCTTTTACCATTCGAGCATTGCAGTGCGCATTTTTTATATTTCTGATATTTTCATGCGTTTCTTTTTTCTACGCATTTCATTATGTACGTGTGAAATCGACGGTCTAAAGCTGGAACGCGATTTAACGAGACACTATTGTGATACTATTTAGAACGCAGATGACTAATTTCCCGTTCGTTGAAATCTCTCCGAGGCTCCGCGCGTTAAGCGACGTGCGATACTACATGTAACGACTGAGGGGAGTACACGCCGCAGATTTCATTGTTCTCTTTCGCCTATTAAAAGATTTCGTTGCTCGTGTTAGACAGAAATTGGTTATAGGCCGAATCCAATGGCAACACGCTATTTTCTAATCGTAAGCCGTAACGTACGGTTCATCTTTGGCCACTGGGTAACAGATCTAAGGTCAACGTCCAAGATCGAACGCGTCATATATTTCTAGTTCGCGATCCGGCCGTGAACGACGTCTAAAGATACGGTAGAATCTCCAAGGCGGACCGGATTTGGCACTTCGCTAGGCCTCGTTCGCGATTCCTTTTTATAGAATATTTGTCGATGCCAGCGATATCACTTGAGACAATGGCAATACTGCTTCATCCCTCGGTCCAAGCAATCCGCCGACGAGGCGTACTGATTCAACCTGCTGACCTCGTGATCGGACACGGTATACGTGCCGTTCTCGTGATAATTCACGGTCACTTCGAACTTCCCGTCCCCTGGAGCGACCTGGATCATGTAAAAATAAGCCACGCTGCTCGAGTTTCCGAAATCGATCACACGATCAACTCGGTACAGTTTTTTCAGGCGGAGCTTCGCGCACAGTCGCCTGCCCTTTTTGTCCCGGTAAGCATCTAGCAGCTTATCCACGTGATCCAGGAATGTCTGCACACCGTTTCGAACGATCGGATCGTCGGGATCTGCGGGTTCGAACGCCGTGCAAGCGCACCAGTGGGACGAGATGCCCGCGTCGGAGCAGCCCCTCTCCCTCGGAACAGGACCACCGATCAGGCTGTGGCAATTGGGACAACCCGGCGCTGGGTCTGCCTGACCACCGGAAAGGTTCAACACTTCCCTCAGCGTCTCGTAGAGATCGAACGGCGAAGTCAATCGGTGTTGGTTCGCGAGCAGCGAGGAGTAGGCCTCGGGCCGCTCGGCTCGGAACCACTCCGGTAACCAGAGATAGAGAAACGGTAATCGCTCCTCGTACCAGCCGACGAAAGTGTTCCTGATCGGACCCCAACGCATCCCGTGATCGCTCAGTAACACGATCACGGTGTCGTTCAGTACCGCGTCCTGTTCCAACTGTTTCAACTTGCCGAGGAGCTTGCCGTCCATCGAAGACAGCCCGTTGGCGTTCTCGTGGCTGACGCTGATCGTCCAGAAGAAGCCGAAGTACGGGAGGCCGAAGAACGCTCGCGCGAACTCGATCGCGTAGTCGAGGATCCGGTCGAAGCTGGACTCTGGACCCGTGCAATATTTCAAACCGAATCTGCAATTTTTCATCACACCATTATAACCCGTGATTCATTGTCTTCGAACGAGCGAATCGCAATCAGGAGATCAATGAATCATTACTAGACAAACGACTTTTACGCACGATAAAACATTTGTAATAGAATTCGAATTAAAATTCCTTTTATCCTTCGAAGATAATGACATAGATACATACATACGTCTAATGCATATTCCTGTACACTGGAGAATATGAATTATTCATATTTTCTCTACATCAAATTCTTCTATAAATGCATAAAATGCGCTGTCTAATAATGATAATTGTACGACGCTACATCGTTCGATCGACCCGTCATTCTCTTAAAAGTTAATTACGCGGAGTATAAATAACAGAACGTACCTCTTTTTCACCTTGAGGAGCTTCTCGCAGGCGAGCATGTACGGCCGGAGATAGTAATCGGTCGGCGGTTCTACGAAGCCCATTTTCAGGTAATTGAAAGTGTTGAGCGACGTCTCGTCCTCCCCGTACGCGGTAACGTAGCCGGCGTCGCGGAAATTTCGCCAGATGAACGAGCACTGGTCCAACTTGTACGAGACCGTCGGCTTACATATCGAGTAGGCCTGAGCCTGATTCTGGCCCGTGAGGATCGCCATCAGATTCGGGAAGGTGTTGTCACCCATCTTGTTGTAACCGTTCATCTGGACCCAGCCGGTCTCCTTTAAGTATCTCTCGGTGTTCGGCACGCTGCGAATGAAATTTAGCCTGCTAACGCTGTCGATACCTAGCAGGAGCACGCTCAGCTTCCTCGACAACACCCCCCCGGTCGAGTTTTGCTTGAAGCGGTCGCGCACCTTCTCCACGTCCAGAATCGCGTGGACGTTCTCGTAGATCGGTTTGCCGCGCTTTTTCCATGACTTCGACTTCGACTTGCAGCTGACCATCGTCGCGTACGCCTGCTTCGGCACCGTGGCTTTCCCTTCGAGATTCTCGCATTTTTTCACTCTGGAGAACGCGAGGAGAGGATCGAAATCGTAGCGAAAGTCATCAGTCGCGTGACGGGGCTCGCTCAGGCGGAAAGCGATCAAACTGGTTTCGGATGTATTGGCTATACAGTCAATCCCAAAAGTTTATTCACTTTAAAAACGCATTTTTTAAAAAGAAATCAGACGTCGGAAGAACAATGCTAATAATAAACAACAAAAAAAAATTTTTCAATTTTTTCGAGATTTTTCCAAGGGGTACCCCTTCAATTTCTTCCAAATTTTCGTTTTTGGCCAATAACTCCCAAAACGTTGGACCTACGGGAAAATTGCATACAACCTTTCTTGTAGAGGACGACGAGATCTACAATTTCTATATAAAAGTTCTTCGTTAGCATCAATAGTTTACGAGTAATTTGCAAAAAACTGTTTTTTAGTT